GCCGCCCGCTTCTGGAATTTGAGCACATTTAGTCTTTAACACCTTAACACCTTTTTGCCGCATTCTAGAACGTTTCCAAGCAAAGTTGCATTCATTTTTGAAAAATGGCCTTCGTCTCAACGCACGCCCCGCCCATCCAAAAAATAAAAAAAGTGAGCAGAGCCTTATGCGTGCTGGGCGGGGCTTCCCTAAGCTTACGCACGTTCAGCACGCATAAGACCCTGTTCACTTTCTTTTTTTTTGACCTCTGCGCCTTAACTGAATCGAGTTATGAATACATCTGAGAAGTAACGCCCATTTTGAGCTCTGGTTTGCTGGCCCAATCCTCACCTTTGAACATTTCTCCCCGGTGTTTGGGCTTTTTGAAACTCGAAGCAAAAATAAGATGTTTGACTGTTGGCTCCGCCCATCCCGGCACTTGCCTCCGCTCCGGAGCTCCGCAGAGCTCGTATGTGCTCTGTTAATCCTGTCTCAGACTCCACCCATCTCGAACTTGTCACGACCTCTAAAGGTGTTTTTTTCAGGCAAAACCGGATTGCGTGACAACAAAAAGCATACATACATACATACATACATACATACATACATACATACATACATACATACATACATACATACATATATACATATATACATATATACATATATACATATATACATATATACATATATACATATATACATATATACATATATACATATATACATATATACACANATACATACATACATACATACATACATACATACATACATACATACATACATACATACATACATACATACATACATACATACATACATACATACATACGTAACATACATACAGTACCGCTCAAAAGTCTTCGATCAAACGCTTTGACCCTTTTTTTCATAACTTTTTTCTTAGTGGAGCGGATCGTGCAAAATTTTGATGTTTAACTAAGACTGTTTCACCCTATTCAACATTATTTGACTGTAAAGCAGCAGTATCCCCATAATAAGAATAAGATGTTCATGACAGCAGGTTTCTCTGAAAGCAAAATTAGTGACGTCTGCAGTTATTCGCACCTCATGTGCACTATTCTTCTCTACTGTGTTCGGTGTTAGCGCTCGTATACTTTAGACATGGTAGAAAGAAAAGAAATTCTAGTCGCACCAGTATCCCTATTTCCAGTTGAATTTGAGTACAAGCCCTTTGGAATATCTGGAACATGATCAGACTGCAGACTAATAGGTAAGTATTCACAATACACCCATGCTACACATATCGAAATTTCGCGTGATTAGATCCAGTAGGAAAGGGGTCACGACTGTACAGTATGACTGAAGAAGCATTTCACCGAAGACTTTTGAGCGCTACTGTATCATGTTGTCACACTCAAGAACTTCACAAATTTTCCAGAAACCTGGAAGTGCCTCTTCATCGCCAAATCGCCAAACTTGTAACTGGCTTGGTTTCTTCGTGCGACATAGAATTAAAAGAGGAAAACAACAGCTTTTTCTACTGCCTAGAAACTGATGGCAACGCTTTTTTTATGAACTTACCATTCCAGGCAAACACACCATTTCTTGTGTCGAAGGTTTCGCATTCCAAAGTGGTCCTATACAGAGGCCCAGGGAAGGGAGGGAGGGGTGAGGGAACTTCTCCTCGAGAATTGCTTCGCGCCTGCTACTCCCGATCGCGCGCAGTCGCGCATATGAAGGGAAAGCTTGGGACTCCCGATGTAAGGATGCGGTAGTCGCCGGAACCATTGCCGATTGCCCTGGGAATTCGAAGAAGTACGGCTACCCGGGAAGGGAACAGCATCACAACGGAATGGTTTCAGCTGACGCGAACTTTCAAATGCCCTTTTTTCGTTGTTGTATTCGGAATGGTAGCAGTAGTGCCGAACGTTCCCCATAGCTAACCATTTGACGTCCTTTTTCGCTAAAATTGCGCACCTTTTTGCGTGTCTGGCGAGCGGGGCAGGCCACTCCAAAGCTTTTCGCTCCTCCGGCTCACCGTTGCGTCGCTCTGTCCCACAATCGATTCAATTTTTCTGATGTAAACAATTTTCACTTTTCTAAAGCATTTTTATGATGCAGTTTGGAATAGGTGTAAGTCAGATGGTTATGGATTTTGTACCCTAGTTGATTCTGGTTTTATGCAGACAAGTCGGGTCGCCGCGTTAACGCCGGGTTCTCCTCACTTTTAGGTTGGGGTTGAAATATCTTACCACTGGTATCATTGCTCCTTTTTTCTTCTTGAACTTTCCTTTCTTGTCAGTAGCAGCCACTTATGAGTACTAATCAAAATCAAATACTGATCAAAATCGATTACCATCATAGATAGCCACGTTTACGGCTTCATTCTCACCACATCTCTTCAATTTTCTTAGAATTGAAACATTGTTGACAAAATGGAACAAAGTTACGATCAATCGGTCAGTACCGCAATAGACCGATACGGGAAATCGGTGCATCGGCCAACTCGTAAACTGGAGAACACTATCAATTTTAAAGGTGAAAGCGCAGGACACATGGCTAGAGTAATTCTGCATGCGAACTGAAGAAATGAATGAAAAATAAGATTTATAGTCTCAGAAGGGAATTCAAGTGTCCAGTCTTATCACCTACCGTTAATCTATCTTGCTGCCTGTTTCCTATTCTAATTTGAAAACTTTAGCATTGAGGGAACAATCTCCGAACACACATTCCCCCTGTGGGCGCGGGTCTACACCCGCATCGCCACTAGTATTCTCATTGCGCCATCTGCACTTCTTTCAAATTTAAACACTCCATCCCCACGGGAGCAGGAATTATGGGTTTTAGCTGGTCCACACCTTTTGCGAACTGCCTTCCCTCGTGAGCTGGACTGGTGTTCTCGAGTGGCTCAGTTCGTTCCCCACTTGTTTCAACAGGGCTTTCCTATTCCAGTTCAATTTAAGAGAGGCACCGTATAAACTGAGTGGCAAACATTCATAAAGCGAGGCAGACAAACGGACATTTGCGGTTTATATTAGGTTGTCCGGAAAAGTTTTTGAACACCCTGGGTTTATCAACTGTTGTACAAAAGGTTAAGAACCTGACCATATGAAGTTATATATTTTCTGGAAGGGTAGATCCGCCACTATATCCCTGCCAAGATTCTGTTAACAATCCTCAAAGTTTCTCGTATAGGACTTGTGAGAAAATTCAGCATCATCGCCTACATTTTCGGCACTGATGCTTTTCTTTTACCGCAAGGGCAAGAACGCGGCTCAAACAGCGAAAACTATTTGTGACGTTAAAGTAGACAGTGATCTAGGAGAAGTGGAACGTACACTGCGTGCGGTGGTTTGCAAGATTTAGACAGGGTGAATTCGCCCTTGAAAATCGGCATAGTCAGGGAGGCCACCATCATTTGAATAGGATCAAATCAAAATGGTAATCGGAACGAACCGGAACACCACCACTCGTGAAGTAGGAAAAAAGCCTAGTATTTCGAAATCAGCCATCCATGATCATCTGCTGGAACTTGGTTTTATAATGCGCCTTGATGTTTGGATACCTTGCGGAATGAGCGAGAGCAATATGGTGGACCGCGCCTCCGCGTGGACTCATTGCTCAAACGGAACAAAAATGAGCTGTTTGTAATGAGTACGGAGGACGAAAAGTGGATTGTGTACAACAACGAGGAGCGGAAACGATCGTGGGGCCTTTCCAGTGAGACGTCACAAACCGCTGCAAAAATCAAAATCCAGGTGCGGAAGATTAAGCTGTACTGCTGGTGGGATTGGAGGGAAATCACTTATTAGAACTGTTGCCGCATAATCAAACGAAAATTTCAGAAAGGTATTGTACTAAGATACGCAATTTGGAGACAGCGACATATCAGAAGCGACCCGAACTGACCAATCGTGAGGGCGTTGTCTTCCAACAAGATACCTCCAGACCACACGTATTTTTAGCCATTCGTCTAAAATTGCTGAAGCTTGGATGCGATGTATTCCCACACCCCCATAATGCGCGGACATCGCGCCATCAAAATACCACTTGCTTAGTTTTCTGCAGAATTCTTCCAATGGAAAATCGTTCAATTCGGTGGAGGACTGCAAAAGCGCCTGAGAGGGTTTTTGAATTTTAAGTCTAGGAGCTCCTCTAAAAGTGGGACATTCAAATTAAAGAAAGGTGGCGAACTTTCACTGAACAGAATAGAGGATATTTTGTTTAATAAACGGATTTCGTTTTCATTAACCTTCACTCGAAAACGAATCGAAAATCGGCGAAGACTTTCTGGACAAGCCAATATATTGTAAGGTCAATTTTTCAATAAAGGGTGCTTTTCCAACGTCGCAAAATGATACAGCCACTAACAAAATTAATTTACTTAACAACAAACATACAACAAGGAGAGAAATTTGCAAAGTCAATAATCAGCTGACCCACCATTCTTTCGAATTACTTTGATAATACGGTGGTCTAGGCTCGAACAAAAAATTATCGGTCAGCTCCTGGGCAATTTGGTGCCATGCTTCGATTATCGCTTTTTTCAACTCCTTGTCGCGTCAGAGTTGCTTGTTTCGGGCGTAAATCTCCGCACCNTGAAGCCCCATACATTTCCCATCGAATTCAAATCGGGGCTGTCCACCGGCCAGGGCAGAAGTGGAATCCGATGCCGAGAGAACCAAGCTTTGGTGCTCCTGCTGACATGGAATGGGGCGTTGTCTTGCATAAAAACAAGATTTCTGTGGCGATTTTGACGCCAGAAAGGGAGAAGTTCACGGCGCATAACAGTCCGATAAAAGGACGAGTTCATCTTCTTCGGCACAAAACATAAACGGATACGCTTACTCGACGAGATCGCGGCCCAAACCATGACTCCTCCTCCCTTGAAGTTTCGTCTGGAAAAGTGAAGTTTTTCCTTCCTCAGGTCGTGCCAATAAAATCGGTTTCCGTCTGGACCATCACAGTTGAACTTCTTCTCATCGGTAAAGACGACCTGAAGAACAAAAACCATCAAGAGAAGGAAGGTCAAATGTCAGCACACGACGAACACCTTATTCCATTCGGTTCGGCTGCACTCTCCGGGGAAAGCGACCCGATTTCCTCGATGTTTTTTTTGTCATGAAGGGTGCCTTATGCATTTTCCTCTTGACGATGAACTGAGACTTTCTGATGACCCTCCAAACAGTGTCCTTTGAGACATTGAGGTTCAGTGAAGATCGGATTTCCATGCAGGACTCGGTGGAGTTCAACGCTTCCCTCAAAATACGGCGCTTGTCTCTGTCGGAAAGGAGCGAAGGACGTCCAGCACTTCTTCTGGTTCCATATTCTTCAGGATTCTTGATGAAGTTATCCACAACTGCGTGAGATCGACCCAAATCTCGCGCGATTCTGCGATTTGACAATCCCTGCTCCTTTTTCGCGAGGATTTGACCTTCCTCGAAATCCGAAAGCAAGCTTCCTCTTCCCATTGCCTGAAAATGAAGAACATTACATAAACAAAGCGGTTTCGTTGCGTTGAAATAAAAAACGACACAAAGACATGAAGTGGCTCTATCATTTGGCGACTTTGGAAAGGCACCCTTTACTGAAAAATTGACCAAAAAATGTTTGTGTTTTCGAGCTGAAATTTGGTGATAATGTGCAAATTACAATTCAAATCTGACACATCTTTTACTTTGGCAGTTTTTCAGAAACATCATATACTGTGAGTTTTTGGGAAAATCAGAGGTGGCTGTATCATTTTGCGGCGCACTGTATCTACAAACTCTAACCGCTTTTTTCCGCATTCTACAACAATCATGAACCGAGTTAGGGATTTTCATTTCAGTCCAACCATCCCAGTGCAAACCCTGCTCCCGGAATTCGACTGTTCTTCTATAACATGTAGCCACTTTTTTCGCTTCCTAGAACATTTTTGGAGGGAGTTATGAGTCTTTGCCCTTGTCCCCAGTGCCAAACCCCGCCCACTTTGTGATTCACCCCTTTTTCCACAACCTTCAACCACTTTTCTCCCGCGCTGTAAAACGTATTCAAACAGAGTTCATCTTTTTTATCTCCTTTTTTCATCTTTGCCCCGCCCACCCCCGCGCAGAGCCCGCCCTCTATCAGATTTTGATCAGATTCCTACACCTTTTAACCACTTTTTTCCCGCACTGTAAAACATTCTTGAAAGAATTGTAAATTTCTCATTTCAGCCCCTCCCACTACACCGCAGACTTTGCTTACTTTGAATATTTAACAGTGTTCCACCAGAAACCTGTGATCATCTTTGGGGTTGGAAGATAAATCTTGCAAGACTTGTGACAAGTTTTTTAATCTTATATTCCTTTATTAAAGGCACTGTTCGCGATGATTCAATGGGCGGGTGCGTCGATGACGTGTCCGCCTCTCATCCGATTTCACGCCAGACAGTCTGACGTGGCGTCGAATGGAAGGCGAACACGTCATTGACGTGCCCGCCCATTGAATTATCGCGAACAGTGCCTTTAAACGGAAGCTTCGATCCACAACATAATCACTATTATTATCTAGGAGTCGGGAGCACTCTATAGCAATCAGACTCGAAAACATTAGAAAAGAGCTTTGGTTTTTCCTAGAAAAATATGTATAAAGTGTTGCAGGACTTATCATCTAATTGTTTGTAAGGTCTTTCCAAATCTGCACCTTTCCTTATTAGTATCATACACCTTAACTCACATATCTGCTTTGGTGCTCTCAATTCGTCAGTTTTCGAAAAATGGTGAAGCTTCACAAACATCCAGCGTCTTTGCGCGCATTTGGTGAGTCCTTTTCCGGAATTGCTCATCGTCCCGACATTTCTCACGTAACAATGTCTTGAGTAGCGATGCGCAGGCATGTCAACAGCCAGCCTAAAGACGATCGTCTTGACTCGATTACGACCTCTTATCCGAATACAGTTGCTCGGGAATGAATACGCGAGGAAACCTGCAGAAAAATGAGAAAAATGACCGCCAAATTAAATGTGCGTTCTAATTCTATGAGATGACTTCCCCCGAGCAGATGCAATTCTATCCAGTTACGTTACGGAGGCCGTATGAAATTTTGGGAAGAAAAAGTTGAGAGAAAGAATAAATGCTGTGCCCTACTTGCACGCGGCACGCCCTTCGACACAGTTTTTCTGACGAGAAGGTATTCAGCGTGAAAGGGATGTCCAGATCCCAGAGTACACGTTTATTTCTCAGTACAAGTGGCGAGGGAGTTGAGGAGGGTCAAATCGTTTTTCAGACGAGCGATATCGTTTTTTGTCGAGAACGTATATGTATAAAATAAAGTTGGTCAGAGAATCCTCACGAGCAACATTCCTGACGATGTGGTGCTTTCGGTCAAAAATAATTCCAGGGGTGTGATTTGGAAATCCTCGCGTGCTTGCACACAAAGGGAAAAAGGCCGAGACTGGTGCTGAGATCTCCGCAAATATTTTCTGGTCAACAGCCCATTGGGTCCGTGAGGAGAGCCTGCGCTTCGAATCAAACCACTGTTACTGCTTCTAAGAGATGGTCGAAAAAGTCCGGACTGGAGCTTCTCAAGAAACTGCGTGCCGCCCTCGATAATTAGCCAAAGCATCTTCGAGTTTTAGAAGGTACAAGAGACGGTTGTATCAGTAACCGTGCGTTTACTTTGTTTATGCGATTCATAGTAAATAGTTCACACAAAATAACTACGTATCAATATGAATCTGCACAACACTTATTTTGTTACCATAATTATGGCGCACACTCTACATATATACATATTTTATTTATTTATAATATACACCATATAAGACAGCGCTGAACAGGAAACATAAACAACGATCAGCAGCACAGCACGTTACGACAGAATAACAAATTGTGAAAACAGAAAGTGACAACTGTGCTTGTAAAATATTTTTAATACCAACTGCCCGTTTGAAGGAGCTTAGAGAGTCTTGGATGCTGGGAGCCTTGCTCGTTTGCAAGTATGCAAGACTAGCTCCTACGGTGGGAAAGTTACTTCTTATGGCTGTTTTGGGCATAGAAAAGAATAACTTGAGCTGACTATCCCTTGTTTTGTATAGGGAGTGAGCGACTGTTTATGTAGACTGCTATCTGGAGAAGCAGCTACGAAATGGATGGATAAGAAGATGAGGAACGAATCAGAATTACACCGTTATATAAACCCCTCGAACCATAATAAACAGTTCCATCCGAGTGCTCGTCGCATCTCGAGTGGCGATCAGACAAGGATTCTACGACTGGCAGGGAAGAGGGAGAAGATCGACCAGATCAAGACAACGACACCAAGTACAAGAAAATGTCAGCCCAAGACAGTACCCCTCCACCAAGGCGACGATAGTGGCTGACCGGGAACCGTAGTAGAGGTTTACCGGGAAAGTGCCCTAGCACGTATGTGCCGGGCACGTCGTGACGCAAATGGTGGAGGCTTTTTAATAACTTCCTCACACTAAGAAAAGTGTGTGATGTATGAAACAAAGAATAATATTCTTATAGGAAATCGGAGTCAGCAACTATGAGCTGCTGAAATCGCTGTTGCAAGGAAGATAACCGGAACAAGTACGCTTGCGCTGAAGGAGTTGAGCGACACTATGGCTAGTCATTTTCAACCCAAGAAAATGATATTGGCCGAACGCTATGGTTTGTTGTCTAGAACGCAGCGTCCTGGACAAGACTTGTAGGATTATTATGCTGAACTGCAGACAGCAGCAGCAGGATATGAGTTCGAAAAAATAACAGATAATAGGAATGCGATGGTCACCATCCGAAACAAGGTTTACCGACCTCTAGGGCTATTCCATACCCATTCAGAAATCGTGATAAGGAACAAACCCGAAGAAAGGTTGAGGGAGGGAACAATCGCTCGTCCGTAGTCGTGCAAGTCCTGAACATGTTGTGAAGGTCAGGGGCATGCCGATTATCAGTGTTTCAAACGGCAAACATCATTTTGCACGGTTTGCTCCTGAACACATGGCTAAGGCATGTAGAACAAGAATGACGAATACAAAGGGAGTCTCCCGCCAGGTCAACTGGTGTGCTGAGCCCATCATCTTCGACCTTGATGACTCATACAGTAGTGAGAATAATATCGATAGGTTAACACATAAGAGGCGTCAAGGTCGTAGAGAAGAGTTGGATAAGTTGAGCCACCCGGCCGAAGTCAAGAAAACGGCTCAAGATCGGTTGGTAAGACGGTCCGTAGAGCTGCGATGACCGTGAGATAAATCGCCGTGCCGCAAAGTAAAAGTAGAGCCGGCTGCGAAGTTGAAGATAAGAATTCAATGTACTCACGTAGCGTGTAAATTGGATACTGGCGCTTCTATGTCGATACTTTATTTCATTGAGGCTGCGGTCTACAATTATAGTCCCATTCATTTCTGTGGCACATGTACTGTTTTGAACGAGTTCATAGGCAAACAGTCTAAAACAGACCTGCATGAGATATTAGGTTGGTGCAAGAGAAATGCAGGTTTTTTGTTGTACTAGTTTCAACACTATTTTTTTAAAGAAGACTAAGCCTTTTTCATGAGGTATTGTACATTGTTGGAAAGCTTATTCTATGCGTTTTAAATGTGTATGTGAAATTTCATTCAAGTCGCTTAATTTAAAAAAAATGTGGTTTTTATTTTCAGATGTCTAGTCGCAATTTTCGTCAAATTTACTTCTATGAGTTCAAACTGGGTCGGACTGCCGCTCAAACCGCTCGAAATATCAACGAAGTATGGGAACAGGGAAGTGTCAACGAATGCACAGTACAACGTTGGTTCCAAAAGTTCCGTGCCGGCAACACCAGCCTCGAAGACGAACCACATGGCAGCCGTCTACCGACACTTGATAACGATCAATTGAAGGCGTCCGTCGAAGCTGATCCACACAAAACGACACGAGACATTGCGAAGGAACCCAATGTCCATCACACTACAATTGTTCGCCATTTGAAGCAAATTGGGAAGAATAAGAAGCTTGACAAATGGGTTCCGCATGAATTGACCTAGACCTCACGTCTCATTGATCACACGGCAAAAGCTGCATACGTTGAACTACGAAACTGTGGATCATTCACCATGCTCGTCAGACCTTTCACCTACTGACTTTCACCTTTTCAAGCACCTTGACAACTTTTTGCGGGAAAAACGCCACAGAAACCAAGATGATGCAGAAACTGCCTTCAATGAGTTCATTGCTTCCAGAACCCCAGACTTCTATGATATTGGTATTAAGAAGCTCGTTTCTCGTTGGCAAAAGTGTGTTAATTGTAATGGTGATTACTTTGATTAAATAAATGTTGTTAGAGCTAAGTTATAGTAATTTAGATTTAAGGTGGAAAAACCTGCATTTCTTTTGCACCAACCTAATAGAAGGAGCTACCCGTACATTGTGCGGAAGAGATGATTAAAGCGCTAAAAATTATTTGCGGACCGCATTACCCAAGCATATATCGAATACAGGGCAAATCCCGGGAAAATGTGGAATGT